AATGCTGATGTGCCGAAAAGGCAAAACAGTTGTCTAAACAGAAATAACAGTTATTTACAGTTCTGCACACACATGCCTATTCATACATACATACATGTTTATGTGAATACAGCAGTGACAATTACATAACCTCAACATACTTACCGATTTTTCAGTTCTCACAATTTCCTTGCCATCCGGATAGAAGGCGACGCGCACCTCGCCCTTGCTGAGCACCTCGTTAGCTTCCTCCTCCTCATCATCCGAAGAGTACGATTCGGCTGTTCCAGTGACGACTCCAAAACGAACGCGACCTTTGCGATCGATGCGAAATACTTCATCCTCGAAAAAGAACTGAAACTCCCGATTGTCCGAGCTCTTAGACGCCACAGCGCCGCCTGCCGTTTTACGATTACTAGATGCACCGCTTGCCAAAAAAGGCCGCGATTCAGCTGTAGGTGACGTTTCAGTCTCCATATCTACTGCTGCTCCTGGCGGTGGTGTCGCCGGAGCCTCTAACGGGGTGCCGCCGGCATTGGCAGCACCCGCGACTTGACTCAACATATTACCAATTGTGAACTGTGTGAATCAGAATAAAAATTCCACATTTAATTCTGATTAAATGCTCGATATTTGATTATATGCAAATTTCAGTTGGCAACCCAAATCACATTCTCATATACTAGAAACATCGGCTGCTTCAATTAGGCAGCTGAGTTCCTGAATGGATTTATGTACATACCATGGGCCGCCTATCGGCAAGAAGTTGTGCTTCCTAGTAATTATGTATGTAATTGCTGTTTCACGTACTCTACACAATCGAATTTATTTACAACCGAGTACTGGGCGAGAGGTGTCTAGCATAGTTCAGATTTCTTTCTAATACTGCTTAATGAATACATTTGAAGTCTACACTGGGGCGACTCCGGAATTTTGTTACAATTTTGCCAACTTATTTAAAAAAAAAAAAAACTAAAAATACAACATCTGAAAACTAGTGAAGTTGGGCCCAATGCTTGTATTTCGTACAGCAACACATTTAACATTTTACTGAACTGTTGTTAACAGAGAGCGCCTATATTTACCTGAGAAATCCGCCGTCGGCCGTCTCTCGAGTTTGATTAAATTTTAAAAACTTTTTTGATAGATACATTTTGGGAAAAAACTACATAACAATTAGTTTTAGAAAAAAAAAATTACTCTGATAGTTGGCTTACTGCAAGAAACACCCCAAACAAAAATCGAATTTGAATTTAGCAGCTGATAGCTTACAGAACAATAACAGGGCACAAAATATTCTTTATTTTAAAAGCGACGAGTGAATGTTTGTCAGTACTTATATACATATTATCTTTTATATGCCATATACATCAATTTGATTTAATAATCTACAAGATATCAAACATAGAATTCCTTTTTGTAGAAAGCATGGCTAGTAATTCGATAATTTTTCGATATATTTATTTTTCATGCGCGCCTATTGTGTGCCCGGTATTGTGGATGCAGTTTATGGCATGTCTACTATAAATAAAATGTTATAGATAAACCATCAAAAGTCAACAATATTTGTTTAGTACACACCTATTTCGAAAGCAGGTTCTGCAGCGCTATCATAATTATTAACACTAAGCTGACGACCATAATTAGTACATATGCTATTGTGGCTATGGTGCATATTATATTCATGCTATAAATATCGCATACCTAGCCGTCAACATTTCAAATTCCATCAAAACGTATACTTACTCGTTTCTTTAAAAGCAAGTGCACTTTGTGCAAGATATAGTTGTTATACTGATTTGCACGTATTTACAAATTTCGCTGTGTATTGTTGCATTCACAAAAATTTTTCACAAAAGTGTATACTTAGATATAAAATAAAATTATAATGATTAAAATATAACAAACAAATGAATTTTAAAACAAGACATGCTTTGTTTCGAAATATGTACTTAAATAGTAAAATGACTTCGAGTGCACCAGGGTTGCTATTTTCCGATTCCAAATGATTGTCCTAACGATACCGTTAACAAATAATTCGTGAACTGAAACCAGTTGATCGCCCAGCAAAAAAAAAAGAGGAGTTAGTCGAAAAGGATGAGTCCACCCCTTTTACCCTAAAACAGTTGAACAGTTCAAATACTAAAGATATTGGGTTTGCTTTTGGGTGTGTTCCCTGGTCAATTCGCAACTGTATGACAACCAACCGATAAAGTACATTGAATCAATCGAGGTCTCCAGAGGTTTAACAAGCCTCGGGCTAGTTAACCTAAACCCGAATGGGGCTTATAAATTATACATTAATAAAACAATATTTGAGTACTTTAAATTCGTTTTTTATTACTAAGACATTTTTCTAATATTGCAAATTTACATATTGTCACACCTAACAATCATTGGTGGAGCATATGGTGAATGGTGCACACCGAATGAATAGGCGCGCCCCGATCTTCCAGGACGATAGTACATCAAATCATAATAATTAGGACCAGGACCAACATTCTCTTTACGCATATTACAAATCGGCCTCATGGAATACTGAGGCGCACGACTTAGCTTGAGATTCAGATCGCCCGCAGCATATGCCGCCGGGCCAGGCGAATCTGCCTTCCGATTTAATTTCGCTTGGATGCCCCTGATATAAAACAAATGCAATTAGTTCACGGTCAACAATACAACCGAACATAATACCCACATGCTATAGGCTGGAGCGGATGGTTTTATGGGACTGACTTCGAATTTGTAGGCGCTCGGACCAGGTCCATACTTCTTGAAACTGTATTCATTCCGTTTACCCAATGAGTAAGCCGGCGCAGTAACCCCCTTGAAAAATGGCTTAATGTGTAGTTCGTGTGCGCCGGGACCGGGACCAACTCTTTTGTCTGCAATTGAATCGAGTAATTAAGGACGTTTCACTATTTACTCTGATCAACTTACCAATAATTTTTGTCATAGGGGCTATGGTGTATTGGAAACCCCCTCCTCGGCCATAGCGCGTAAGTTTATCTACCTGATAGGCACCTGGCCCTGGTCCCGGATCAGGGCCCATCATGTTGGTACGAGCCCCGAAGGAGTATTGTGGCATTCGCTGTTTCCGGGTGTCGTGCTTATCATACCCCAAGGTTGGGGGCAACCCGTAAGCGCCGGGACCAGGACCTATACATTTGAAAATTATAAAATGGTATCATTTAAGGACTAACACACTTACCTAAAGGTCTACGCGCCATGTCTGTCTATTGCAATATTAGAAAAAAATGCTTGAAATTTTGAAACTCTTGCGAGTTGTTGTCCGTACGGTTCCCAAATGTAAACTGAAACACATTCAGGCAGTCCCATGCCTTGTGGTCGGGCTCACATAACACTAAATCCATGGCCAACTTGGTTTAAACAAATTATAGAAATTCCAACAGATTCTCTTTTAAGCCAAAGTCCATTATGAAGAATCAAATAATACAAGAATTTTGATTCTGTGCAATCATCTTGCTACTAACTACTAAGTATATCTTCGACTGCCTTACAAGAGTCGATATATTTTGCCAAAAATACACAAATACACTATATAACCATATGGCAAAAATTGACGGTTTCTAAAGTTCCAACCTGAAGAACTCCTTTGCGGTTGTTGTCTAAGAGCGGGATTTGCACGACTTTGTGTAAAAGAAATATAATTAAGAATTTATCCGCAAATTTATGTGAAGTTGAGCTGAAAAATTTCAATATCCGTGATTGGATTAGGGGAAACTTCCTGCGCTGGCGGGTCCACATATAAAAACACAATTGAGATTGAGATGCATGCAAGCGACAAATGATACAAAGGGCTTCATTTGTGATAACCGCGACATTATTAAACATTTAACGCATATTTCACAATTTATTACTACCAAGATTCATGTTACATAAAATTTTTTCTAATATTGCAAAGCTACATATTATCACATCTAACTACCATGGGTGGAGCATATGGCGAATGGCGCACACCGAATGAATAGGCTTGACCCGTCTTGCCAGGACGATAGTACATCAAATCATAATAATTAGGACCGGGACCCAGGGTATCTTTTCTCATGCTGCAAATGGGTCTCATTGTGTACTCAGGTGCGCGATACAATCTGATATTCATATCGCCGGCACCATAAGCAGCCGGACCAGGCGAATCTACCGCCTTGCCCTTAATCTTGGTTTGCATACCCCTATTAAAATACAATTATTTAGTTGATGGTCTGGAATACAATTGTACATAATACCCACATGCTATAGGCGGGTGCGGCTGGCTTAATGGGATTGATCTCATACTTATAAGCACTCGGACCGGGTCCACAGTTCTTAAAATTATAATTGTTACGCACTCCCAAGGAATAAGCTGGTGCGTTGACTCCTTTGAAGAACGGTTTCAAATGAACATCGTGTGCGCCGGGGCCGGGGCCAATTCTTTTGTCTGCAGAACAGAAATCGAACCGAATTAAGCAGCAGGAATAACTCTATATTGATCCCTTAACTTACCAATAATTTTTGTCATGGGGGCAATTGTGTATTGCAAACCGCCGCCCATTCCATAGCGCGTTAATTTGTCTACCTGATAGGCGCCCGGTCCTGGTCCAGCAGCGGCATTCGTCGACTGCGTGCGGGTTCCGAAGGAGTATTGCGGCATGCGCTGTTTACGGGTATCATGCTTCTCATAACCCACGGTTGTGGGCAACCCGTAAGCGCCGGGACCAGGGCCTGTCGATTAGAAAACCATTAGCTGTGCTGCTTCAAACGACCTATTCAACGCTTACCTAGAGGTCGATGCGCCATGTATATTTAATTTATTGCAATATTAGAAAAAATTTTCGACCAATTTTGAACTCTCTTGAGTTGTGTGCCGAATGAATTTCAAAAGTGTAATGAGAGCAGCTGAGGCCCTCACACAACTATGTAGTGTATTGTCCACATGAACTTTATGTCAAGGGCAAGTAGTTTTGCGAATAACATCAAAAGACATTTAAGGATAGGGATTTCTAGGGTTATGCTTTTCATGGAGATTTGATAAGTTGGTGACATATATTGCTTGAGCTTATGGTGAGTGCAGTACTTATTCCAGATCCATGGAATTGTAGAGCTGCTTATAGCGCGAGCCACGCCCACTGTTCTGCATGAGCAAATCGTTTTGATGCTCCCTCAGGCGCTGTGCGTGCATGGAAACAACAAATATAAGAAAAAATACACTTTCATGGAATTATCAATTGAACCACCTACTTTCGGATCATATTTCTGATATAGATAAACCAATATGGGGCCGTACAGAATATTGAAGATGCCCACAATACGCATAAGCCAGGCAAAGCCAAAGCTCTGGGCCAACTCGCCGCCAATTAAAGGAGCTGCCAAATTTAAGAAGCAAACTGCTAGAAAACATCAGAGAATGAACAGAGTCTTACCAAGGCAGTAAGCTAGGCTCACGGAGGTCTGCTGTATAGCATAGACCGTGCCGTAGCTTGACGTTGAGCTGCTGGTCTCGCCGATCTCATCCTGCGCCAGTGTGGCATCCACAAAAGTGGCCAGAAGTGGAACCAAGGCTGCGTCGATCACACCAATGCCTAGGCCCAAGGCAAAGTGGGGCAGCAGTAGTTGAGCAACAGTCGTGGCGCTGGGTATCTGCATGAAAAGATTTAATTTTAGTAGACAGATTGAAGCAAGTCCGACCAGACCTACCAGAATCGAGGCAAAGCCCACCAGCAGCAGGCTGATGCAGGAGACCTTTAGCTGGCCATAGCGATAGGCGATGCTGCCAAAAAAGTTGGTGCCCACAAAGTAGCCCACGGAGTCCGGTATAAAAACTGTGCCCAATTGCCATTTATTCGGATGCAGATACTGAATCAACCAAATGGGCAAACATGGCTCTAGTATGGCCATTGTGGAAGTGGACAGCCAAATGGCGATCACAATGGCCAAAATCATTTTGCATTCAAGTAGCGCACGCCACTTAGTCTTCTGTTCCACGACCAAAACTTCTGGCTGCACGGATAGGTCCATGGTGAGCAGCTGTAGGCCCAGGCTCAAGAAGATGACCGTGGCGAGTATTATAAAGGGTGCCGATTTGCCCACCATATCGTAGAGAATGCTGCCAAAAGGATAGCCCAATAGCACGCCCAACGCAATGCTGCCCAGAATGATGCCCATGACCTTGGAGCGGCGGGCCTCCTCCGGATAGTGCTGTGCCACCAGACTCATGCCGCATACGCCAATGCAGGCGGAGCCCACGCCCTGAATGGCGCGGGCTAGCAACAACATCCAATATGATTCGCCCACGGCAAACACTGAAAAGAAAACATAATAAAGGGATATGCTAAACTGAGCAGCCTGCTGCGAGTTTACCGAGCGAGGAGAGCAAAAGAAAGCAGGTGCCCACCATAATGGGCAGTCGGTAGCCACACTTGCTCGACATATTGCCAACAATGGGATTAAAAATCAATTGAACCAGCGCTTTCATGGCCAACAGCAGTCCAATGGAGCCATTTTCGTGCGTCAAGCGCAGGCTGTTGAAATTGCTGTCGGTATCGACCTTTGTGGTTGTGGTCGCATTAGTGCCGCCCAAATGATTGCTGGGTGGCATATTTGGCATCGTTGTGGTCGTCAGTAGCTGCAGCAGAGTGAAGTTCACCATCGATTTGCCGGGTATCGGATGCTTGGCCATGTAGAACTGCGTGTGACCTTCGTTGCGGTAAGCTAGCTGATGTACCGTCGGTGTAGGGGAGGGTGTGCCCTCCTCCAGCCGATAACCCTCATAGGCTGGCTTCTCCAGGCTGGCCAAATAGTCGGGTAAAATGGGCACTGTAAGCGGCACATTTTAGTTTCTGCTATCTGGTTGTTATCTTTTAATTGGCATTACCTATTACGGTCAGCAGCACATTGTCCAGCAGCAGAGCTATGTACACAATTCCAGCTATCAGGCAGCGATTCTCGATGTTGCCATTCGACTGGGGTGTTGAGCTGCGCCTGGCGGAAACGTTCAGCTTGGCCGCTGCCTGGCCACTTGTTGACTTCGCCGACATGACACGCGCGCGCCAACAATCCAAATAAATATGCAACACTAATACAGACGCACAAAGGCTGAATGTTATTACACTGGCATATGGCCGAGAAGAGCGGCGCCGCAAAATATGCTACACAATAATAAGCGCACACACACACAAACACACACGAACACACACTCACACGCATGCACACACACAGCGTAAAAAGCTCGTTTAGAAGCAGAGTTTTCGCGCTCTTTAACCAACAGGTGGTGTTGCTGCCTTGTCAACGTGTATGTGGCTATTGAAAGGTTGCAACAAGCCGCCAAATGCTTTTACTGGCAGCATGCGAGCCGAACGAAACGAACGGGCACACGAGCCACAGCTACGAAAGGAAATCATCTATATTCAACATGTGGTCCAAAAGTAGAGCGTATGCACTGCTCCATATAGTTGGTAACATTAAAATTAAATATAAATTAAATATAAATATAATAGATATGAACTGTTCAGAAAAATCAAATGCGAATTCATAACAAATTGAACCAAAATATAGTGCTGCCTGCCAACAAGACATTATCTATGTGGCAACCCCGAACAAAACATAATTATGCATGCATTTCACAATTTATCGATCTCCCAGCCAGATCGTTGGTGCCTCTTTGTCCATTTATACGGTATTTTATGGTATTTATTATGGAAAAATATTCTCTTAATTTTAATTAAATGTATATTTTATTTAAACTAAGTTTCAATACAGGGTACATTTTTGTCGCCCACCCTCCGTTGCTGCTTTTGTTGTTGTTGTATGTTATATTGCTGCTTACCAGACTGTTGTTATGTTTGTTGCTTTAGCCATCGCCACGATGCCACACCCACTTAAAGCGCTTAAAGTTCACACGACTCGAAGGCCTGCAACGTGCCTTGTCCCTGATAAGCATGCTATAGATTTTTCAGACTTTCGAATCATTTTCCATTTCATTGAACTCTTCGCTGTTTAAATTTAGTCCCAAGAGAGCTGCCGCTCAACATAAATCTGTGACGAACTGCGTCAATTGCTTGCTACACAATAAAGCACATTTAACAAGGGGACCTCGGAGAAGAGAGAGTGATTGACACTTGCCGTGACTGTGGCCCAGTTTTGTGGGTGTAGATTGACATCCTTAATGCAAGTCATCAAACAATTGTATACAATTTAGTTGGAATACTTTGAAAGCTCTATTAGAAACCGTTTTGTATAAGTTTGCAATATGTTTACATATGTTTTTCGAATACTCATCGATTAAGCATCTAATTTTGTTCATTGATTTGCCATTAAGAATCTTTTGAACACCTGTTTTAGTATTACATTTTAATCGCAGCTGAGTTCCTTAAGCCAATCGAGGTACATAGGTGTGTCCCCGATAAGATAGCCAATTCGCAAAACTTATAATCAGAACCAAAAAATACACTGTAGCCAATTGAGCTATTTTCATCATTGAGGGAGAGACAATCAATAAAAACAAAATTAAGCAACTGGAACTTTTGTTTACATATTAATTTTCAATTAATATTATATTATATTATTCTCAATTTACTTATATTCTATTTCCCCCACTCTTTGACAATAAGAGATTAATAGATTTCTGAATTGTATATAAATGAGCCGTAATCAACTTTTTAATTGCATAGTGCTTATCCCATTAAACCACTTCAGGGGTTTATTTGTTAAGATTAGGTGGGAGCGAAAAAAAAGCTTGAGTCGGTTATGCTTTGAACAATAGATTCAGTTAACGGGCTTTTGGACAAGCGATCGGCCGAAAAATGTTCAGGTGCAAATATTGTTTGCTCCTTGGCGCTTTGCTATTGCTGCTGATAGCCGCAATCGGTAGGTATTAGGCATATGCATATATCATAGAGAACACCTGTTTTATAAAGTGCTCACCCAGGTGTCCAGACTGAAACCGTTCCTTGTAAGCTAAAAGATGTCAAGTATGGCAAGGTATGTGAATGCACGGCGGATTACTGCGACTATCTGGAGAATCCCACGCTGAGCCAGGAGGATGAGTTCGCCCTGATCTCCAGCAGCAAACAGGGGCTTCGCTTTGAACTCAACAAGGGCAACTTTGGAGCTCAAGATAAGTACACCATAAATGATTATGAAGAGCCAGCTACGGAAGCCACGGCCAGCAATGGCACGATCCTATCACGGATAGTGGATCAGGCTTTAGCCAGTATATTCTCGGTACTCTTCTCACCGACCAGCAGCACCACTCGCTCCGTCACGCTAAAGGTGGATCGGAGCAAGCGTTACCAAAGAATTGAGGGTTTCGGTGGCAGCTTCACGGGAGCTGTGTCCTACTTATTGGAAAACTATAAGGAGCAGGAAATTCAAGACCATCTGTACAAGAGTTTCTATGCCGCCAAGGGATTGGGATTCAATTTAATGCGCGTTGCAATGGGCGGCTGCGATTTCGATTTGGAAGCCTGGTCCTATAACGAGCAGCCCGAAAACGAAACTATACTGACCGGCATGGATAAGCTAGACGATCGTGATGTTATTCGCGTGGAGCAAATCAAGCGACTGAAGGAAGTGTCGGGCGTGGAAAATCTGCGAATCAAGGGTGCTGCCTGGAGTGCGCCACCATGGATGAAGACCAACAAGAGGTGGACTGGCTTCGGGCGCCTAAAGCGCGAATACTATCAGACCTGGGCCGACTACCATCTAAAGTGGGTGGAACTGATGGAGAGCAATGGTCTGCCGATTTGGGCCATTTCCACTGGAAATGAGCCAACAAACGGAATACTTTTCATGATTTTCGTCAAGTTCATGAGCATGGGCTGGACACCACAGACGCAAGCCGTATGGGTGGACGACAATTTAGGTCCCACAATTCGTAACTCCAAGTACAAGGACTTGGTCATATTCAGCAACGATGATCAGCGATACACCAGTCCATTTTGGTTCAATAAGGTAAGACGATTTAGATTCAAGCCCAATCCACTCGCTAACCCAATCCAATCACAGATGAACCGCACACGCCCAGGTTCGCTCCAATACATTGACGGTGTATCCTTGCACTGGTATTGGGATGAAATATTTGGTAGCAGCTTTGTCCAGAACACCAACGAGTTCATGGCCAATAAAATACAGATAATATCTGAGTCTTGTATTGGCGACAAGCCCTGGCAAAAAGCAGCTCCTCTGTTGGGCAGCTGGGAGCGGGCAGAGAAGGTTGCACGCTCATTTCTGTCCCATCTGCAGGATGGCTTCCACGGCTGGATAGACTGGAATATCATTTTGAATGAGGCGGGTGGACCAAACTATGTAAACAACACCGTTGACGCTCCCGTTATTGCCAATACGACATGTAAGCAGTTAAACACGCTCCGGCTTATCCCATCTTTATTACCAATTTTTGTTTTTGCGCCAGCCTATACTGAGTTCTACAAACAACCCATGTTCTATATCATGGGTCATTTCTCCAAGCTTGTGCCCGAGGGCTCCGTACACATCGAGGCGATTGCCAGCAATGTCAACCTCGATTGTGTGGCCTTCATTCGGCCCGACGAGAAGATTATCGCTGTGCTCTTCAACAGTGGTCGCGCCGACCTGGACATCAATGTCGTGGATACTGTGCGCGGAAACGTAACAGTCAACGTACCCGCCAAGTCTATACACACGTTACTCTATAACTAAATGCGCAATAAATGTGTCTAATATTTAAAATATTATTTAAATTTCCAAATCCATTTAATTATTTAAGACTTAGTGCCATGCAAAGGTGAATCGAATTCCCTGATTTAAGGAAAATATTTATCTTTGGAACAGTTAAAAATGAGCAAAGTGAGCAGCAATGTGTGCTGGGTTACTTTCGAGTACACTGTATCTTTTAACAAGCCACTCGCACTTCGTATTTTAGAGAGAGAGAGAGAGAGAGAGGCGGCTGCGAAAGTAACTCTCATGTTAAACGAAGAGAGTGCGCTACCTTTTGCATAACTTTTACTTTGGATTGCCAAATCCGTGAGACGATTTTCAAGTGGAGCGCAGTCGACGCGGCCGCTTTATCAGATCAACAGCTGGCGCAGGTCAAGTAGCAGGCACAACATAAACAACAATATGAGAGCCCACTTAAACCTATTTACACTAATAAATAACAGCAAATTCGGTTGCGATTGATTAGGAGAAACGCGTTTTGCCACTGGCGCCAGGCATTTTACAGCCCAGCTCGGCTCGGCTCGGCTCTCGAGTCAGTTGTGAGGCCGCATTCGGAGCGCAAGTTTCGTTGCAGTTTTGGTTTTGTTAGAGGGCGAAAATGAAAGCGTGTTGGCTGTGCTTGCTGATCGTTTTTGGCTTGTGGGCGCGACGCGGGGGTAAGTGTATTTTGTGCGGCTTTGATTAAATTTTTACCTGTACATGCGCTTGTTGCAGCTGCCTTATCAACGCCTTGCCAGCTGAGGGAGACAAGCTACGGCAGCGTTTGCGTCTGCAACAGCAGCTACTGCGATTATCTAGATCAGCCGATTCTCAGTGATAACGCTCAGATTGTGGTGATTAGCTCTAGCAAGGTAAATGTGAATACTAATCAAATGCAATACATAATCAAATATTATTTTAATAACAGAATGGCCTGCGTTTCAAGCAAGCCCATGGCAGTTTTCTGGACAAAGAGGCATTGGAAGTGCAGGATCATCGATGGATTGATGAAAACTTTGTAGCGGACTCCATTATTGTTGAGCAAAACAAGGCCTGGCTACAATTTGCCAACGTTCCGCAACGCTTCGGTAATTGAAACGCTGCATAATCAACTACTCAACACTTAAGCTCTCTCTCTCTCTCTCGCTCTCTCTCTTTTTCAACACTGCACAGCTTTCAATGTGAGCATTAAGACCGTGCAGTTAACGGTTAAACGCGAGCAGCGCTATCAGAAAATAACAAATTTTGGAGGCGCTTTTACGGGCAGCGTCTCGCACATTTTAAAACAACTCCCAGTCGATTTGCAGGATCATGTCTATAGGTATGTACATACACATATGCTCTGGCGAACATAAGTGGATTTCTAATCCAATATTTGATTTTGATATAGATCCTATTTTCACGCCGATGGCATTGGCTATAACTCAATACGCATGTCGATTGGTGCCTCCGACTTTGATCTACAGCCCTGGGCCTACAACGAGCTGCCGCGCAACGATCCATCACTGAGCAACTTTACCACACTGGATGCACGTGATCTTCAGAAAATTGAACAGCTGAAACGCCTTAAAGCAGTCGCCCAACTGAATGATCTGAAAATTATGGCCGCTGCTTGGAGTGCGCCCACATGGATGAAGAGCAACGATAGATGGACGGGTTTTGGTCAGCTGAAATCGGAATACTATCAAGCCTGGGCGGATTACCATTTGAAGTGGGTGCCCAAAAAAAGTTTACCACTCGGTGACTATTTTAATGTGAATTAATGTGCACTCCTTGCAGATTTCTCGAACTGATGCAGTCTAAAAATATGCCCGTCTGGGCCATATCCACTGGCAATGAGCCGTTAAACGGCGTCATCGGTTTCATCTTTATACACTTCATGAGCATGGGCTGGACGCCCTGGCAGCAGGTTGGCACTGCAATTCATAATTATAAGCATTTATATAGTAGATTTTACTTAATAGGCGATTTGGCTCGGCGATTATCTGGGACCGACCATCAAGAAGTCCAAGCAGAGTCATGTGCTCATCTTTGGCAACGATGATCAGCGTTATACGTATCCCTCCTGGTTTCGCAAGGTAAGTTTTTGTTATAATTTGTATACCCTGAACCCATTAAAAATGAGTAAAAAGGGCTTAATGTATTTATGCAAATGTATGTAACAGGCAGAAGGAAACATCTTCGACCCCATAAAGTATATACATTCTTGATCAGCACCAATAGCCGAGTGGAACTTGAAATTTTAGTTGTAGGTCCTCCTAGAGCCCGCGCAAATCGAGTTTGTTTCCGATATCCGATAACTTGCACCGTTTTCAAGTAATCGATAAAAATCGATATCGATATCCTGTTTTTTGAGCAAGTTTGGTAAATTATAAGAGTTAGAGTCACCAAACTGGGCATGTAGCTTCTAGTTAACAGATGAAACTATGATTAAGTTAGGTTCGAATTTGGATGACATGTAGGGAAAAAGGATTCTGATGTTCCAATATGTTTTCTAACACTGATGGTTTTAGGATCGTAGGTAGTTCGTAGGAACTGTAGCTTTATAGCATAGCAAAATGTGCTTACAACATAATTTGATCACGGAATGCATAATTATAGCACAGCATCTAGATAGCGTAGCAGCTGCCTTGGTAAATATAAATAATTCAAACTTAATAATCTCTCACAAATAGATGCGCGCCTCTCGCAGCAATGCCCTCGACTATCTTGATGGCCTGGCGGTGCATTGGTATTGGGATGAGATCTTTGGACCACAGCTTATAGATGACGCCCATACAGAGATGCCAAATAAATTGTTATTGAATACGGAATCTTGCATAGGCGACAAACCATGGCAGACGCACGGCCCAGAGCTGGGCAACTGGGGACGTGGCGAGAGCTATATGCGCGCCTATATACAGGACTTGCTGCACAATTTCAACGGCTGGCTAGACTGGAATCTGGTGCTGGATGAGCAGGGCGGTCCGAACTATGTGCACAATTATGTGGATGCTCCGGTTATCGTGAATACAACGAGTCGCACCGAATTCTACAAGCAGCCCATATACTATGCCATCGGGCATTTTAGCAAGTTTCTACCGGAGCAATCCGTGCGGATCGAGGCGAGAACCAACGAAACCGAGTCCTTCGCCCAGCTGAGCGCGGTGGGCTTTCAAAGGCCGGATGGCAGCGTGGCGCTGATCTTGTACAATGGGTATGTGGCACGCGTCTTGTCTAGCGCTCAAGTGTCTGCACGTCCTGCAGATGTTCGATGTGCTATTTTTGGCGGCATCTGCGCTAAAGTGGCTGGCTCTTAATTGTGCATAGCACTCGAAGAGCTAGACAGCATTTACTGCATTTTTATGAATGTATCTGATAGATACTTTTCATTCTTACAGCGAAAACCTGCCCGTTAATGTGGCGCTCAATGACAGTCAACGTGGTGCATTCAATTTGCGTCTGCCAGCTCGCTCCTGGCACACCGTGGTCTACAAATGATCTGCAATGGATTCCAGGAAACTACCAAATGGGTTAAGCATAGCGTAAAGTGATATAATCTATACTATATATAGCCAAGGGTCCAGCCGGCAGTGCACGTTGCACGTTGCACGTTGTTGCTGCCCCAAGGACCAATTAAGATAGAAAACATGTTTGCCACTCTGCCACTCTGCCGCTCAAGTGACAAGCGCAGGAAGCCAATAAATTTGCCCCGCAACAGGATGCGGATGCTCCACAGCGTTGACTCTGGAGATTTGTCCAAGCGCAACGACCAAGACAACGGAAATTTGTTTAAGCTGCTCAATTTGCCGTAACACGTCTGTTTACAATGAAAATTCATTTGCCGTTTACCCCGCACCGCCCCATCTCAGTTTAGTCTGCCATTGGCATGGGCATGGGCTATGGGGTGTGGGGCAAGGGGCATGGGTAGGTGGCACGGCAAGTATAAACGAAATTTCGGATCAAGTTGAGTGACAACCGGCAGTCGAGCGGCGACAACGACCAACCGAAAACATCTTTCGTATAAATATTTTCTTAAGTTTTTCTTCAAATAAAATGTTCTTCTTATTTTGTTTTTTATATGCTCTATAAATATGATTGTCAATTGAGCGCACAGCACATGCATTTGCTGCAGCTAGTATATGCATCTGGCCCCGACAAAATGGGGCGTTTTATGTAAATCTATAAATTAAACATGAAATATTCATAATTTCTCTGTGACCAATGAGTGCGCCACACCGAATCTTTTGGCAATAGTTTAAGAATAAAAGATACTTACTTTTAATATTAAATGCACAACAAATGATGAAAATGTTTTAAGAAGAAGCGCAGCCATTGCTCATTGGTGGTAAATTTATTGGGGTAAATTTAATGCGTTCATTACATGTTGCAGTTGCAAGTGGCAACTGGCAACAGCATGTCAATGCGTCTTGGGAAATACTCTCAAGTGCTTACAACAAAATACACTTATCAGGCAGCAGCGTGTCAATTACATGCCACACCCCCACCCCCTTATTTTTGTATACTTCTTGCCACAAAAGGGTAAATAGAGCATATTGGCTGTCGCTCTATCCGTGCAGTCGTCAATATAACGAGAATCCCAACTATTATGCTCAGATCAAAATTTACACTTTTTTTTGCCATACCAAAAGACTTTTGATTAATCATTATAAAACTAGAGAAATCAATTTTTATTTTATTTCTGATCATATTCCAGCAGATTACCCCAAAAACATGTTCTTTCTGCTCTGCTCCAATTCGTGTCGATATCAACGATAGATTGTTAGATTACTTTTAAAGCCAAATGCGCTACGAAGAGGTCTAATTGCAGACTCGGAGGAGTTGATCCCCTCTATTCATTATTATATATTTATCTGACTCTAATATAAAAATTATAAAATTGCAATTTGATCTATGTTTTGTGCTTAAGTCAAAAGAAATCGGGGAAAAGGAAAAGAGTTCGTCTCTAAATGAAAATCAAGATCCACACCATGAGTTGATATTAAACAGGCAACAGGGCCTCCAACTCCTATTGCCCGTGCAGATCAAACTTACTACAATCTTACTATCGATATCAATTTTCATATCTTATTTTTCCACCTTATCTCGAAGCGTAGCTCGCAGCTCAACGCTGGGCTCAGGGTATCTATAAGTTGGGCACGCCGCACTTGTTTTCTTTTCTTTTTTGAACAGCCAATACCAAAGTCCCTGTGGGATGTGCCAGCGAGAGTGTTGAGTGCTTCTTTAAGTTGATGTAGTTGGAGTTGTTGTTGTTGTTGTTGTTGTGCTGTTTGCACTGCATGAAGTTAATGAGGCTCATTATGAATATAGCAGCGATATGTTTGTGTCATAAGTAATAAGATTGCAGTCGGGGAATTTACACGCGCTGCTCTCGTCAGGAGAAGATCAAAGCGCACTACCATTTCCCAGGCTGCACAACCCACCCATAATGTGTTATGAGTTATTGGCGGCAACTCCAGCTAGCTGATCCGCTTCCTGGCAGTCTCGCCACGTTCACGTCCACGTACACGTCCACATCCACGTCGGCGTCCGCGTCCACGTCGTGTGCCTGTCAACAGCTGACAGCGCCATGTCAGAGCAATTTGCTGTACTGAAGGTAGGTGCTCCGCTCATCAGCACCTCCTACACATGTCGTGTCTCTCTGTGACGGGCACTCAAATTGAATGCTCATGGCTGGATACTATTTAGCGTCAGATTTATTTCAAGCATAAAACGGCGATCACATTTCACAGCGCCCATGGTAATGGGTCGGGGCGGAGGGGGGTGCACTTAAGTGGCCCGCGGGACAAAGGCGCCGGATGTGAGTATTCGATATACATACACCATATTACCCCATAGTAAACACACACACACACACACACATGCATACACATTTGTCAGTGAGCGCTGTTCTATGGAGATTTGTATTTTATTTAGTTAAATGATGGGTCGTATTTTCCCAACTATTTGCCTGATAAGATAATCAAATTAGCCAATCCAGCCAGGCCAGCCGTGGCCCAATTAGCAGGAATCATAAGCGCTATAGCCAGCTACAAGATGCGACGTCCGTTGTCACCAACGCTGGCAAAGCTGGCCGAGCAGGAGCTGAACGAGACGCCCGACAGGATACAGCAGGATATCATCATATTGCGCGTCTGGATACGCCAGCAGCCACATTTGCGCGCCCGCACCGAGGACGACTTTCTGATCGCGTTCCTGCGCCGCTGTCGCTATAGCCTGGAGGAGACAAAGCGGCGACTGGACCGTTACTTCACCTACTATAATCTCTTTCCGGAAATAATGAGCAATCGCTATATCACACAGCGAGTGCTCGATATCAATCGATTGGGGTAAGTAGCTGGTGGAGGAATCACACCATCACAACATGTAGCCTGTCGAAATTTCAGGATCTGCCTGTATCCGGACTTGCCCAAGTGCGACAATCGCACCGCCCTGTTCATAGCACGGTTTGGCAAGCTTGATCCCAACCAGTATAGTCTGCGCGAGATTTATCATTTCACGTCCATGGCAATGGAAATTGTTGCGCTGGAGAATGATTATGCGTCTGTGGCGGGCATTTGTGAGATTATCGATTTGGAGGGCGTCACCTCGGATGGGATGCGCCGCTTCGATAAGCAATTCTTTCGCAAATGGTGGAACTGGCTGCACGACTGTAGTCCACTGCGAATTAAGGAAGTGTATGTCATCAATATGCCCAAGGACATACAGGGCCCCATTATGTTTCTCTACAATGTGCTCAGCATGCAGGTCAACTATCCGGTGAGCGCTTCGAATGACCTTCTCCCTTTGCCCAGCTAATAGAGATTTGAATCGCAGATACGCGTGCTTAAAACCAGCGAGGAGCTGTTCGACCACATCGGCAAGGCCAGCCTGCCCGAGGAATATGGCGGCACCAATGGCCACATGACGGAGAGCGTTGCATATATGGAGGATTTGCTGAATAGCTATCGTGGCTACTTTGAGCAGGAGTACAAGTATGGCACCATCGAGGAGCTGCGACCCGGCGAGGTAGCCATGTACGAGGCCGAGTTTGGTGTCAACGGCTCCTTTCGCAGGCTGAACTGGGATTGACAGTGACCCTGTCCAGTCCAGTCCAACCTTATTGTTAAGTCAAAGCTCTGCTGTAGTCGATCAATTAAATTTTTGTGTACCCCGCATAGATAAACAGTATATCGCTTAATTCGCTTATCTGCAAGTACACATGTATGTACATTCATATATCTCTCGCTGGATATCTAACAGCGAGCGTTCCAGCTATTACCAGGTCGCCGTTCGCTGTTGCTGATTAGATAGCCCCTCGACTAAGCGACTCACTGGGCTGGGCGTCAGACATTCGGCATTCGAGTTGCAGCTGTCGGAGCGCTAACATGGCCGGACTGCGACCACTGGCACCGGAACTCTCGGCGCTGGCCCTGTCCGACTGCAATGAGCAGCAGGCGGAGCGAGGGGCTTTGATAGTCACACTGCAAACGTGGATTGGCAAATCGCCATATCTGAAGGCGCGCACGGATGAGCGACTGATTTTGGCCTTTCTGCGACGTTGTCGTTTCAGTGTGGAGGAAACCAAAAGACGCATCGACAATTACTATTCCCTGCGCAATGCCTTTCCCGAGGTGCTCTGCGCGCGGCAAGTGGACGAGGCGCTCTTGCGGCAGTTCGATCGCGGGTAAGTCCCCACCTTGTGCTACACTCTACAAGACTCTCTAATAACTGAACCCATTCCAGTATCCATGTCATACCCACACGACCAGCTAGCGCGCAAGGACCGCGCGTTATCATCTCACAGTTCTGCAAGATCGATCCAAAGCAATCGAGTCCCCGCGAAGCCTTCAAGCTGCTCTTCATGCTGCTGGAGCTGCTTGCCATGGAGTGCGATAATGCATCTGTTGCGGGTCTATTTTATGTGGTGGACGCGCGTGATGTCAACATGGAGCAAATGATGCAATACGATCCGTTTCTGCTGAAGAAGACCTTCATGCTGGTGGATCAGTGTTTACCGCTGCGCTTCGCAGAGATTCACCTGGTGAACATGATACCCTCGGGTCAGACCATCTTTAATTTTGTCACCAGCTTTTTGCCAGCCAAGCTGCCCTGGAAGGTGCGTAATCCCGCTCACTTAAACATAGGATTCCGTTTAATACGCTTGATTATTCCTCACAGTTTGTTGTGCACAAGAAATCCGAGGATTTGTACAAGCATCTGCCGCCCGAGGCGATGACCATCGAGTATGGCGGCAGCAATGGCTACCAGGCGGAGGCCCTGGACTACTGGCGCCAAAAGCTGCTGGCGCACAAGGATTACTTTGCCGAAGATGCCCAATATGGCACAAACGAGAAACTGCGCGTGGGCCTGGCCAATGCCTGGGCCACCGGCGAACTGGGCGGCACCAGCGGCTCCTTTCGCAAGCTGGAAGTGGACTGAAACCCGTTCTTGCTGTCTGCTTTATTCTTAGTGTTTATTTAAGTAGTTGCTAAAGCTAAAAACAAAGATTACTAAACTAGTTCTACACTTTCACTGTTATTTGGTGTGTCCTTTTTGGGTATAGCTCGTATCCTTTAGGCTGGCACTTAAACTTAACTTTACAATTAACTAGTTTGGCTGGATGTCGCCTGGTGCTAGGTGCTACATTTCTGCTTAAAGTTCCCGTGAAGCGTCGACCCGCTGCCCTTCGCCGGCGGCGTGTCGCTAGATTTGCTGGCGGCGGCTTGCATTTGGGCAGCGTTCGTTGTGCTCTTGTTAATGCTCTGGACAATGAGATTCAGGCAATCCAAGCTGGAGCCACTCGCGCTGGCGCTGCCATCGAAATCTGCCAAGAAATCATAAATCGATTAGAGTTAAGCAAGTAGCCGATTACCTGTTAATATATTACCTGTAAAATGGCCATATTTCTCCATGTGTTTGTTGTAAAAGATTAGCTTGTCCTCCAGATACGCGCCCGCATAGGAGCTCTGCAATGGAAATTGAAAACGCATCCATGAGATACATAGATACTTGTTTGTCTAGCTGCCACAAAATTAGCGAAACAATAAATTACAGCCAAAAGAAAAAACAGCAAAACT